TCTCTCTCTCTCTCTCTCACACACACACACACACACACACAGAAAAAGAAAAGCGGCCAGAGCCTCCCCTTGACTCAAACACAAAACTGGACTGTTGGGCTGGGGAGATAGCTCAGTAGAATAAGAGCTTGCCTGGCAAGTGCAAGGGCCTGAGTTCAACCCCTGGTTCTGCCAAACAAAAAACTGGACTACCACATAAGGGGGTGCAGCTAAGACAGAGTCTGAGAGGTGTTGGGGCCCTGCAACCTGTGGGACCCATATGTTCACACAGCAGAGCTGCTGTAGTCAAGCTCCCAACTAGGTGACCAGAGCCTAAGGAGCAGAGGAGAGAGAGGTAAATCAAACCCACCAGCCACAGAGTCTTGGTGTTGCCATGACAACCCATGGGAGGCCCACACAGAGCCTACCAGTGATGCGCATGGAAGGCCAGAGCTCTAGAGTTCAGCTTAGAGGATGTGGGCGCTGCAGCGGGGTAGGACTCAAAAAAACTGCCCTCTTTATAAACGGTGGCCTGCAGTACAAAGCAGGATGGTGACTGGCCCAAAGTCCCAAAGAAGGCCTGGGGCAGGGCTGGACCCAGCTGTCCTTCTCTAAGACAATATGCTCTACAAAATTTGGGGCTCAGGTGGCCTTCTCTTCTGCTTCCCAGTCCAGGCTGGGGTGGAGCACAGCTGGCCCTGGCCAGGCTCCACTCAGTACACAGCAGGCTGCGCCTCCGGAGGGAAGAGCACATGGCCTGCTTTCCTGCCTCTGGGCCAAATGAACTCCTAAGGCTTGTTAGATCATGATGGCCAAACCCCACCAGTAGTTGTACATCCACTTATTTATAGCTCATGCCAATGTTTCTAGGAAGGTAAAATTACCTCTACTTTCACACATGAGGAAATGGAGGCTCAGAGAATGAATGAATCCAATCAGCAAACAAATAAGCCAACCAGCTCTTATGGCCTCTGAGATAAGAGACAGTCCTGTGATGCAAGCAGGTCCGAACCCCCACATCCTGCTCCATCTTCCCTAAGTTCTTACTCAGCCAGGGCAGGCTCAAGCAGTCCTGGAATTTCCTGTTTCCTTCCCTCCAGCCTGCAGAGCTTGACAGGGTCAGGTTCTTATCTCTTCACTTTCTCAGGTTGGCAAATCCTTCCCCATCCTTCATAAACTGACTCAGCTAGAAGACTCCCTAACCCTCCATGAGCCTCCAGTGTTCTGCACAATGGTCCTCGGTACACGATACCTGGTGAGGCACAGAGGCACATGCCTGTAATTCTAGCACTCTGGGAGGCTGGGGCAGGAAGACCACAAGTTTGAGCCCAGCCTGGATAACTTAGTGAATTAGTGAGAATTCGTCTCAAAATAACAAAAAAAAGGGTGGTGGTGTGGGGATGGTGCTCAGTGCAAAGACCCTGGGTTTGCTCCCTGCTACTGCTACTGCACCACCACCACCACGTGTTAGCTGCCTTTTGGTCAGCACTGCGTAAGACAATGAGCTCCACAGGGGTAGAGGCTGGGGCGAGTGGAGGCAGCACGGGCTGGACCTGGTGCTCTCATCTTCCTCCCCAGAGTACCAGCTCCATGGGCTTCTTTTCCTCTGACCACTGTGGCTCTGGTCACTTTATAGGGATCGCTGGCTGGCTCAGGGCCCCTCCAGAGCTAGGCTGAACACATCAAAACACAAATCATCCATCGTGCCATCTCTGCTGGAATTTATGTTGGCTGCCTTCTGTAAGGTTTCACATACACCTTGAGGTGATCGAGGTCAGGGAGGGAGAGCAGATGAGGGGAGAGACGTCCTTTCCAGCCCTACATTTCTAGGGTCCTACTGGCCCAGAGGGGTGACCTGTCTGTCCTGGGCCCTTGCACAGCTGGTGTCCCTCTATAACACTCTGAAGGAGCAGGCCCTTGCCTGGAGTGCAGCGATGGCCTGAAATGGGGCTCATGTGTTCTGAAGCCTCTGCCACTGCTTTTCCAAGGCTGGTACTTGCACCGTCCAGATCCCCTCCAAGATTCAGGCACCACTTGCTGTTATGAGTGCTGGCTTCTGACCACTCATAGCTGTACCCCTCTTCAGGAAATCCCCTCCCTAGGGACAGCCACATTCAGGGAGAGCCTTGCCTCTGTGCCTTATCGGGGACACCTGAATGGCCATCCAGCCCCAATGCCCCTCAGGCAGAGGCTTGCTGTAGCCTTACCACAGTGCAGTTTCTTCTTCTTTTTTTTTTTTTTTTTTTTTTTTGGTGGTACTGGGGATTGAACTCGGGACCCTACACTTACTTGCCAGGCAAGTGCTTATTCTACGGAGCTATCTCCCCTGCCCCCGCAGTTTCCTCTTTGACCCACTCTGCCCTTGTTCCTTGACCACTGCCTGGCAAGCTCCTTCAGTCTGTTTCCTGAGGGACCCAACCTGTACAAGGCCTCACTCTGCTCACTTCTTCCCCCATTCTTCCATTTGTATAGTTTTTCACTGAGCTCTGTCCAGGAGCCAGGCACGGTAAGTGAACGGGCCAGGGAAGGTACCCAGAGTCCTTTCCAGAGCTCCCTTTCAGTAACTTTCAACTCCCAGTATCAGCAAGCACCATCTGCCATGTGGCAAAGACAGAAGCAGGCCTCTCACCCATGCCCTAGGATTCTGGGGAACAGCTCCCCATGGGGACTAGAGGGCACCTAGTACTTGTAGCAAGTAGCCTGTCCCAACTGCAAGGTAACAGCATGGAAGGAGAAACGGAACCTTACCTTTTGTTGAGCACCATGTTCCCGAGCTTCAAGTCTCTGTGCACAATGTTTTTCTGAAAACCAATAGGCAAATGGTGTGCACTGGGAAAGTAAAAGGTGCGCTGGGGCCAGCCTGTAAAATGTGAGCTCTCCCGTTATATGGGAAAGTAGGCCTCATTGACCATGACAGGATGAGTACTGTGGCCCAGTCAGGACCCACTAGGTTGCCTCCCCCACCCCTTTTCCCCTCAGGGAAGCCAGTGGGGAAGCCACTTTGCTCTTCTCCAGCAAACATGGGGTGGGATGAGTTGGGGGTGGGTTGGGGATATAGTTCAGTGGCATAACGCCTGCATGGTGCTTGCACAAGGTCCTGAGTTCAAATCCTGGTCCCCCAAAATGCAAGTAAATAAAACACCAGGGAGAAAAACCAAGTTTTGGCCTGGGACGGGGTCAGAAATGAACAGTCTTAACTCTGGAACTAAGCCCTGCAGGCTCCGCCCATGAAGCTGTGTGCCCAGAAGCAGCTTGGGCTCTCCTCCTTTTTACCTCAGAATCCTGAGCCCCAATCCTACAAGCTCAGATAGGCTGTAGTGCCAGGAGGGTACCTTGCATTTGTCCCCAAGCTGGAACACTACATTTTAGCCTCCTGACACACAGGGAATTACTGTGCAGGGCTCTGTGGGCTACCTGGTGGCCTACAGCACTGTCTTACCCAGGGCACCCGTCATTCAGCCTCTTTCCTCCAGACATTCGAGGCTGCAGGGCACACCTGGGCGAGGGCGGAGCTGCTTTCTACTGAGCAGCAGCAAGAAGTGGGCCTTTCTGGGACAGAATGCAAGGGGGCAGCGGTGCAGAGGGCTCACCTGGTGCAGGGCCTCCACCACACGCACCACATCGTAGAAGATGACCACAGTCTCCCGCTCGCTGAGCCTCTTCTCTTTGATGACGTAATGCTGCAGGTTGATCAGGTCAGCAGTCTTGTCACTGAAGTCGTGTGCACAGAGGCAGTCTAGGACGAGGCAGATGCGCTTCTTCATCTTCTTAACCATGCGGCTGGATTCTGTGTCCTCAATGATTTCACAGGTGCGGTCCTATGAGGCAAGAAGGCCAGGGGCAGGGCTTTGGGACTCTCCGAAGCATCACCAATGGTGGTTGGCCCCACTTCCACCTCTTAGTTGGGCTAGAGCAAGGCTGCAGGTGTGGTTGGGTAGCCTAAAAAAGGGCCCTCAGCATCACTCAGCTTTCCACCTGCCAAGTACCAGGCCCAAGGGACTGAGAAGACATGTCAAAGCTTCAGGCTTTTATCATAAGCAGGGGACTAGGATCAGGGCTGGACATTTAAAGCCAAGTACAGCGGCAATGAAGCTGGGATGTGGGCATCCTTCCACAGCATTCCCCGATTCTACTAATTATCTATCCAAGATGGTGGGCATAGAGGGGTCAATCTGGGAAGACTCTAAGGCTACACAGTGTTCTGTGCCACAAGACAATTACCCTTCCTCCAATCACTGTACTTCTGGGCAGTCACATAACTGTGGCTAAGAGTATGGCTCTGGCCTCAGATAGCTGTGGCTGGTCCCACTTCCACCTCTTAGTTGTGGGGCCTGTGAAGTTCGGTGAAGATTCCATCTCTAGCTCTCACCTCTGAAAAGGGAACCTGTGACCTGTCCTCCCCTGGCTGTGAAGAATGAAATGGGACAACCACCCAGTACTTAGGGCCTGTCGCAGTCAGTGTCCGCACATGAGTACCGCTACTCACACCGTAGCTGCAAGGCCTAGATCCACTGTCCTTGCTGCAAGGTATTCAAGTGAGACAACAACAGCACAATCAGCCTGAGGAGGTCCTCAGTGTCAGCCCCAGCAGCCTGACCATGCCCTCTGGGGAACTCCCAGAAAGACCAAATCTTCACATTCCCCAGAGCCTCAGCCTAGCGTCTGGGCTAGAAATATCATGCTTTTGATCACCTCTGTTCTCTTACCTAAAAGGACCTAAATGAAAGCCAAACTTTTTTTTTTTTTTTTTTTTTGCAGAACCGGGGATTGAACTCAGGCTCTTGTGCTTGCCAGGCAAGCGCTTATTCTACTGAGCTGTCTCCCCGGCCCCAAAATGAAAACCAGATTCTTTTTTTTTCCTGGCAGAACCGGGGATTGAACTCAGGCCCTTGCATTTGCCAGGGAAGCACTTATCCCACTGAGCCATCTCCCCAGCCCAAAACTTTTTACTTTGTTGTTGCTGTTTTATTATCTAGTTTAGGTTGACCTTGAACCCACTATGTATCCCAGGCTAGCCAGGAACTAGAGTGATCTTCCTGTTTCCCCTCCTGAATACTGGGATTACAGGCATGTTTCACCACAGGATGCCAATGCCAAGGTTTTAAAGATGTCAGAGGTGGGGCTGGTGAGATGGCTCAGTGGTCTAAACCGCCTACTTAGAACAAGCTTAGCAAAGCACAGAGACTGCGGTTCAATCCCCCAGCACCACATGCCAGCCAGCCCCGCCCCCTGGTGGGCTGAGCTGGACACACACACACACACACACACACACACACACACACACACACAAATTAAAAAAAAAAAAAGATGTCAGAGATGACATAAATTACCATCACCCACAATTCAGTTTCATGTTTAAGGGAAATGATCTATTTCTAGAATTTACTAATGATACACTAATTTTTTTTTTTTTTTTTTTTGGAACCTGGGATTGAACTCAGGCCTTTGCACTTGCCAGGGAAGCACTTATTCCACTGAGCCATCTCCCCAGCCATGATACTCTAATTTGTCTCTATAGTAACACCTTGGTTGTCAAACTTAATCTATTCTAAATTTGTGTTTGAACATTGCAAAGTCTGAGAACTGAACATATTTTTCCATAAGAAATAAAGGAATACCAAATAATTGGTCGAGACCCAAATAAAATGAATATAAACTCATCTTTTCCAGGACTTTAACAAATTTCACAATGATTTCTTTAACTCTATTGTGGTTCTGAGTTTTCCTTTTAGTTTTACTGCTGGTATTATTAACTTTCTTTAGAATCATGGTTACAGTATTTGATATAAATGAGGCAAAAAAAAAAAAAAAAAAAAAGCACAATGGTGAAAGTTGGAACGTGCACACAGCACTAGCTGCTATCTGAGTAAGAGTGGTGCTTAGGCTGAAGTGTTACCCGTTTGTGTCCCCAGTGAGTTGTGATGACAAACTCACTCTTTTCAAGTTAGATTTTTGGTTGACTACTGAGAAAAGTTATGAACACTGAGCAGATTTTTCAATTTTGCAGTTTGAGTAGTGGAAAGTTTGAGCTTGGAGCCACACAACAAGACACTGAGGTACCAGTGTCTTTGCAAATCTAAAAATGAGAGCTTGAAAGGGTGTGGACATGGGAGAGGGATGCATTCCCTGTTCATTTTATAGCAGGAAATGGAGCTGACACGAGTTTTTATTGCCTGAGACAGCAATGATGACGAGAGTGTACCACAGCCCTTTGGTCTCATTTGTCTTCTTGACTCCTATCAGGGAGGGGCTTTTATCATTCTCCACTTTCTATAGATGAGGACTCTGAAGCTGAGACCTGCAATGACTTGGCTGGGGTCACACACCCTGAATCTAGGACTGTCAGCTTCAAAATCTTTATGTCCCTGTGGCATGGTGCAACCTCTTGAATATCAGATCTACCTTAGCAGAGGCAAGCTCTGGCTGGCATCTGGCTGGCAAGATTGTGCCAAGCAGGGGGCTTCTCCCAATCCTTTGAACCCAACTCTCCATGCTCCAGACACAATTTTAGCTCTGTCCCAGATTGTCCTTTTCAGGGTACAAAATGCTAAATAGTGCCTTTCCTAAGAGACCTGGAACTTGTGACACAGGAGCTCAAGGACATGTGATGAACAAACTGAAATACCTCAGCAGGCAAAAGGACTGCTGGGCCCCAAAACAACTGTGGAGGCCTATAGGTGGTCCCAAACACCAATTCCCCTCACTGTTCTCCCTTCCCCTCCAGCCTGGCCAGTCGCTGACAACCCAGCTGGGAAAAAAAAAAAAAAAAAAAAAAAAAAATCCTCTGGTGTCTTTAAATAACTTCCTGTTTTTCTTTTTTTCTTGGAAAAGTCCTTCCAGGAAAGCCTGGCTGCTTTAAGATGCCAACTGCGCATGTTCCTGCTAGGCTGAGACTATGGCCACAGGAGCACTGCAGCAGCCACAGCAGCCCAGCCTCACTTCCATCCACCCTGCTGAAGAAGTCCTGATGCACTTGGCAGGGTCACTAAGGGGTCACATGCTGGGAGCTGCTTAATAGGACAGATATAAGCCCAGCTAGTGCCAGTCCCTGAAGCCAACCAAGGGGTGGAGGGAGAGGACACTCACCTGGAACAGCCCATGGTGGTGGACCACGCCGTCCTGGGTGTGCAGGAGCGAGAGCAGAGAGTACTCGGTGTGCAGCAGCATCTTGCCCTGCCTCTCCTCTTGGCTCTCTATGCCTTGGTCACCCCTCTCCTCAAGAGTAAGGATCTTTAGGGAAGCACAAAAAGAAAATTGGGCTGGGAGATAGCTGGGTAGTCTAAGTGTCTGCATGGCAAGCACAAGGACCCAGGTTTGAACCCCAGAACTGCATTCCATACCACCATGCTGTGTAGTGAGACCCTGTACCAAATAAAGAAATAAAAGATTTAAAAGAAAGAAAGACAATTGAAGACTTTCCTTAATGTCGCAAAATGACTGGAATAGGGAGCAAAGATTGTTGTGGAACCTTTTTTTTTTTTTTTTTGCGGAACCAGGGATTGAACTCAGGCCCTTGCGCTTGCCAGGGAAGCGCTTGTTCCACTGAGCCATCTCCCCGGCCCAAGGAGGTTGCTTTCTATCATGCAACACTTGCCATGGCTCACATACAAACATGCATTTTTCTTAATGTGACAGGCCTGCAATTTATGCAAAGATAAAGCTCTTTAAATCAAGAGACTTCTGAGGAAGACCGTAAATGTGAGGCTTTGCGGGAAGAATGGGGGTACTGTTGCTCACAAGCACTGTAGGTGCAAAGGTGGAGGGGAGGGAAGAGCAAGCCACCAAGAGGTTCCAAGATGCCAGGCTCTAAGGTCCCACCCCACACCTTGCTTACCTTCAGCTGATAGAAGTCATCTGTGCCATCTTTCCTTGCCAAACACTGCACAATGCTTGGCACTGGTGAGTTGCCCAGACGAGGACCTATGACATAAATGCCACGTGCTTACCTTTTAGAAGCCCTGTCTATCACTGCTCCACATCACCACATTGCTGACTAGATCTCTTCAGATAGGTAGCCCACTGAACTGAAGACCCCAAAGCCTCCTGGTAGAGAATTCTCATGGTTTTCACTCCAAAAATGGACAGGAATATATATCTATCTACCTGAGTTGTACCCTGTTTTCGTACCGTCCTTAAAATGAGGGGTTTTCAGGCTGGGCAGAACTCAGCAGGAAGAGCTAAGGTCCATCTGGCCTACCAAATGAAGCCTTGTCTCAAAAAGAGAAGAAAAAGGGTGAGGGGAGGAAGGAAACAAAAGAACAGAACAAAACAGAAAAGGGAGTTTAACTGTCTATACCTACAAATTCTGAGAAGCATCTGTGAAAATGGCTGTCACGTGAACTCTGACTCAGCCACTTCAGCAAGAAAATCTAGGACATCACAACTGCAACAGGCTCCCATGGCGACTTTTCTTTTGAAACAGACTTGCTATGTAGTTTAGGCTGGTCTTGAATTCACTACGTAGTCCTGGTTGGCCTTGAACTCACAGTGACCCTCCTGCTTCTGCCTCCCGAGGGTTGCCTCCTAAGTGCTGGCTACCATGCCTGGCCAGGCCCTCTTCACTCTCACACCATCTCATGTATTTCTTTCAAGGCACTTAGCATGGTAATGACGATCTTGTTTCCTGTTTCCTGTTTCCCCAACCAGAATGTTAAAGCACGAGGTAGGAACTTGTCTGCCTTTCTTACTGCTGCATCCCAAGCGAACAGCCCAGGGCTGGTGCACAGCAGGCACCACTGATGAGCTACAACTGTCGTGGGCCCGCAGGCAGAAGTCACGCCCAGCTTCTCGCACAGGAGACTCAGGCTCTGTGGCACCACTTTACCCACAACCCTGACCATAGGCTATCTGGGCTTGCTAGGTCCCAAGCATTGTGCAGGAAGTCCTGCTCTTCCTCTAGCCTCCTGGGAACACCCAATTCTATAGGATTCCTGCATCTATTTTATAAGATGCAGGGGTTGGGGGCACAACATAAGACATCTGTGAAATAAACATGCCACTCAAAACTGGTTAAGGAAATAATACCTAGATGATGGCTCTTGGCGTAGATTTTTGTTTTGTTTTACAGCACTAGGGATAGAACCTGGAGCTCTGGACGTGCTAGGCAAATGCTCTACCACAAAGCTACACACTTAGCCCAGGTCTTGGCTTCTAATGAAGCTGTGTGCTTCTTGCAGGCACACAGGATTCTCAGGGCACACACAGGATTCTCTGTGTAAGAAACAAGCTGGTTCTCTGCTGAGATTGATCAAAGGCTGGAATGGCTACCACAAACTGGCAACCATAGTTTCAGAATGAACCAGGGCCTGTATTTTCCACTGATATGTATATATCCCATTCAAAGTGATGAAGTGAGCGCTGGGGATGGAACTCAGTAATGACTAGCATACATGAGGCCCTGAGTTTGATCCCAAGCACTGCAAAAGTAATAAAGACAGACAGTGAAGTAGTGAAGTGTGAATCTAGGCAGAGACCTGGTGAAGATCCCATATGGCTGTGTGATGCCTCATCCTGCTGTCGCAGGCCAGACTATGTGAGCCCATGTCCAGACTATGTGAACCCGTATACATATCCACTGATATGTATATATCCCATGATATATGTGAGCCCATGTCCTGCCCTGGCCCCGCATGCCCATCCCACGGCGACCTGAGGCTTACCGAGGATGAATGGTCCAGCTCGCTTTGCATTATTTCCAGAAATCCCGCTTCCTAGAGCCTTTACCCTGGCCGACGTTTCCCCAGCTCCTCTGTCTGATGCTCTCCGCTTCATTCTCAGCTCTAGATAAAAGAGAAAAAGATCCCTGCTCCCTGAGTAATCAACGACTTTTGACTTTTTTTTTTCCTTTTTGAGACAGGGTCTTGCCATGTGGTTCAGGCTGGCCTTGAGCTTACTTTGTTGCCCAGCCTGGCCTCGAACTCACAGTTTTTTTCCTGCTTCAGCCTCCTGAGTGCTAGGATTAAAGGTGTGCATTATCATACTGGGCTATCATCATACTTGGCTTTACAAACAAAAACAACAACAAAAACCACTAATCCTGCCTGTGAATACTGTATTTAGGATGCATCACATGGCTTCAGTTGCTGCTCCTGCCGTTGCCACCTCCTCACCACCCAGAAGAGTAGCTAAGGTTTCTAGTGACAAGAACCATAGCTTCTTTACTTGGAATTAGGTGCTTTAAGACAGCAGATATAGGCCTTAGAACTTGGAAGCCAGCCCACCATAAAAGGGCTGGTGAAATACAGAGAGGAGGAAATAACTTTATCATAGATGCTAAAGTCAAAAAACTCCTGAGTAATGATCAGAGATAGGTGATCCAGCCTCACAGAAGTGAGCCCCAGCCCTGAAGCATGTTTTCAAAGTGAAGCCTTCCCTCCAAATAACCACAGCCAAATGGCCCACTCCTGAGCCAGCTCTAGAGCACGGTAGGCCATGGGCTCCAGGAAATGCATGCTACACATGAGGCCTGGTGTATCTGACGCCCATGAAGTTTGAGGACTACTAGCCTAAAAACTGCCCTCCCAATTCCTTGGCCCCTAGGTCTTCTCAGATGAAAGAAGACCCTGAACTTGCTACTGGGAAGGTTGACTTTCTCTTTCCTCTCTTATTCTCAAATTTTCTTGATTTTTTTTGGGGGGGGGGTGGTACTGGGGATTGAACTCAGGACCCTGCACTTGCCAGACAAGTGCTTATTCTACTGAGCCATCTCCCCGGGGCCCTTGAATTATTTTTAAGAGAAAAAAATACAGTACATTGTGCACACACAAGGTGGATAAAGGCTACCGCTGGAGACCGCTGAGTGCTTTGGTTTGTCTGTTAATCCCCGTCCCGCCCCCCCCCACCCCCCACCCCCCCCC